AATATGTGAGAATTAATATCGGAATTGTGTAGAAATGAAGGTGAACAGATTTTGATAGAAGCTGAACATTCAGAATGGTGCTATATTTATGAAACACTGTACAACTGCCACAATTCATATCGACAAGAGTTAGAACTAGTATCGTAGAAAATGCTGTGCTCGAATCTATTTCGATTACGAATAAAAATAAACCAGAATTCTGCTAGGAGTGTTTCCTTCTTGAAAAGATCGATAGCCGACAGCAATAGTATGAAAACTCAAACTCAAATTTCACCAAAATCACAAAATATTGCACGAAATAAAAAAGAAAAGAAGTCATTTCTGTTATGGTGAAAGAGAACAACTATTAGGCTTGATAAAAAAGTGCAATCACAGGAACGGTGACCAGCGTGAGGAAGAAGCTCATGAAAAATAGATCAAGCCGTTCTGATAGTCGTACGTAGCCATTCATCTCACGACGACGTCTGATCATCGTCGGATCATCGACGTCAATGTCATCAATCTCACCCTGAATTATCTGAGTCAAGTGGCAACAAAAACGAATGCCATAGCCAACATACTCTGCTCACTATTACACCCATATATTTGGACCAAAAAGGACTACTTTATGGTTGAGGTTTTCTAAATTCGAAGATTAGCCAAATTTTAGGGGCAGATATTGAAGCAAGGCTTCATTGGAATGATGAAGAATATCAGAGAAGTCTTTGAAAAAGACGTATTCATCTCCGCAGGAAAAAGGAAGACTTGGGCAAAAGGAGTATGTATTCTTAGTACTGCTAAAAGTAAATATAAAGATGACATTACGCAGTTATGCCTATGTAATCCTAGTGTTCCGTGTTTTTATCAATCCCTTTGCATTCCCGTGGAATTCTATGGATAGACATCTCCTCACAACCTTATCACAGCACATCCTTTAGCATGTCGTTCTGGCGCGATTTCTGGCACAATTTATGGCGAGCAGTTGCCAAAGCGCTGGGCAGATTTCGAGCAAGCTCACTAAAAAGACCATTCAATCGATCTTTTCTTGATGCCTCGCGAAATGACAATGGTGATTGTGTGAGGAACCCACTGGAAGAAAATTCCCATGCAAATGGCTAGGATATTCCCCAGAAGAGAGTCACGCCAGAACAGACTATCAGACGTAAGAAATCCACACAGAATCTCTGCAAATGGTCCAGGACCATAATATTCAGTTTTGGGCTAGCAAGGGATGGCGCTGAATTTCACAGCAGATTCTCGTCAGATTTTGGATGAATGAGGCTCATTTTCTCGTTAGTCACAGGTTTTGTACTGGTGGCTGTACCGGCTGAGAATAGATGAGCGCCCTTTGACTACACTCGAGCGCTTACAATCTCAGTTACGTTCAGGTTACAAGGTACAAGTCTGAATATGAGTCCAAATTGGAACTCCTCATGTAATCAAATATTGTAATCAATCAAGAGAATATAATAAGTTAAGAAACACCTGAATATTTTCGCATACGTGGACCAACTTCCGAATATACGACTCGAGGACAGGTATACGTTCGGCTATCGGTTGAGAGTCCCGCAGTTCACCATTGAGGCCCTTGAGGCAGGACGACGAATGGAACGGGGAATCCGAGCAGACGGTGTAGATACCCTGCTAAACGAAGGCATTTTTGTTGAGAAATATTTTTTAAGGGCAAAAGATCTGAAGCATTAATAAGGAATGGTCATAGTTAATACTCCATGATAAACCACTGAATATTAAATCGATTTTTCACTGCATTAGCTCCATGTACATATATCTGAAGGTTAAAAGAATCTGGAAAGCTTTCGGAGCCGCTGACTCACCGTAGTACGTCAGTCATAGTAGAAAGTACTGTTGTAAAGAATTCAGAACAGCAGTTCGAGGTGTGAAAGCGAAATGGTCCAACCTTTGTTTTCAACGGCTGCAGACAGAAGAGTCGTAGTAGCCAGTCCTTCGGCTCCTTACCATAGCGACCCATGCGGTGAACTCGCATGACTAAACCCGTTGTCATAGCCGCTAAGGACACCATGACCATATTGAAGAGGAAATACGCCACTGAAAGGGAGCAAGGAATTTTTCAACACACTGGACCGGAAGCTCCTGTTCTAGATCTTTGTAAGAAAGCCGTATTGGACAGTATCGGCCTTACTATTATGCTACTGTACTGTCGCTACATCTCATGGAACTTTTAATCTGCAAAGAGTAGCCAAGTTTGATTTTAAGCTACTGTTGTACTCTGTAGCTTTCAATCTTCTGCAAAGTTGTGGAGACGTTTAGTCTGAATCCCAATTCGCTCCGGTCCCTTCGAGAATGCAGAAGGCTACGGCTGCGAAAACGTGAGCCTAGTAGGGTCAACGAGAACCATATTATGGACAAAATTCATTTCACACTCTTCAGACGCTTTATTTTCCCACCCTCGCTATCCTTTTCATTTATTGACCTGTACTGGATTAACTACGAGTACCATTTAGGTGCGTTGCGACCTTAATAGGGATCTCCCGCATCGAAGTTCCCACTATTCCTAGAAATTCTCTTCGTTTCCATAATTTTCTTCGTCTGCCTTCATTTTCCTGATCGTTGACATACCGTTTCCGAAACTAGAGCGATGAAGGGGTATACTCTTGAGCAGGCCTGTGCCATTGCGACCCGCATCTCCGCGAGCGGGGGAGACGCATTGTTAACCGATTTTATGGCCTTGAAATGAACATATAGTCACGAGAATGACTCGGGCGAACGAGAGCAAATGGCTCACGCCTCTGTCGAATGAGATAAACATACGAGCAGGATGTGTGCCATCCGTATATCCCTAAGCAAGGAAAGCTGCATTATTTGGAGGCATTTGAGAGAAGGTCGCTACTAACACAAGTTCTGCTTCATTAATGATGACATAAGATGACACTGTGCTCGTAACACCGAGCATCGGTAGTGCAAAACAAGTGCTGGCCCAATTCGACCTCTGAAAAATCGGCCTGAGATTGAACCTATTATCGAGGGCATAATGAAGACGAAGGTGGTGTAGTGGCAAGTGGCGCACTACATCACACGCACGGTCAGGTGTTCGAATCCTGGGTCGATGCCCGCCTAGGCCAACCAAGCCTTCCATCCCTCCGGGGTGGGTGAATTGGCACCAGACTCGACTGGGAGGATAAAAGCACTGACTTGTACATCGGCTGGCCACCGCAAGTCATTGTATAGGCCACATACGCACTCAATACGCCACTACGATTCTGAATGGAGGTCGAGTGCGGGGCGCATCCCTCAGACGGGATTGATTGATGCCAAAACTTTAGCCTTTATCCTTTATAGTGAAGAAGGCAAAGAATGCTCAGCTCCTCGTTCATTTTTTTCGACACTGCTGACCTTCCTGCTTTGACGTACTCTCAGAGACTTGGACATTACGAAAGCAAGACTAACATGTAGTCAGTTACATTCAGCGTGTTGTGAGGATGACGATGCACAAAATTTTTCGATTCAGGAAATTGCAAATGCAAAAAGAATGTTGCGCTTCGTATTCCTCGATTGGGAACGATTTAATGGACTTTCTTTGATCAACCGCACGTTACAGGCGCCCGCTTGGGAATATCGTTGTTCAATGGAACGACAGATGATGGGGGTGATGTGATTCTTGTCAGTAAAAGTTGTCGCGAACAGCGAGAGACTCCTCAGAGGACGATATTATCCACGATTTTCAATCTGCCCTTTGCTCTTTTATAACACAACAATTATGGCCGTTCAGAATTTAACCGTTGGCTCATGCTTACAAGGTTGAAGGGTTGGCTCAGAATCATCTGATGACCTTTTCCGGATAGCGCCCCAATTACCACATTTATGATTGTATTTACTGTTGAATTTGCACTTAAATAAGCAGTGATTGTAAACAAACCGAGTAAGGGAACGTGAGTTGATGAATGTGGAACCTTTTCGCTGACAACCAGTGAGAGGACAGCCATCGTGAGTATGGCTGTAACGCCGAGAGTGAATCTTTCCTGAAAACTTCACCAAGTTATACTGATTAACCCCATTGGAAAAAGTATTCGAATTCCACTCCTTCAGCTAGTCAAAAGATACTTATCAATCACCGTAAATTGTTTGAAAGCTATACATTCAGTATATATCAAACTTATTGAATTCCCTTGAATGTATGACTTTCTCTCCCTCTTTCGATAACTTTTTCAGCTTAAAGGCACGGTTCACGATAAAAGAAGGTTACTGAGTTCTTCCTTCAAGAATACTCAGCGCCCCCCATGGGTGGTGGAAGGGACCCTCTCGCTCCCACAATCTCGGCGTTTAGGGCATAGTGGAAGCTCCGTTGTTGCCGTAGTTCGCTTTCCCGTCCCTCGATCGACGTCACGTTAGACGAGTGTCGAGACAATACAGATTGCTATTATTCGTTCTAGGACCCACGCACAATCAGCTAATCGCCGAGTGATGAGGATGTTTTTCTCCCATTCTTTTTTTTTCCTCTATT